GTCCGCGCGGGGGGCCTCGGCGGGGCTGACAGAGGGCTGGCTGACGGCGGAGCGCAGGGTACTGCTGCGGCCCACGGTGGCGGGGAGCCCGCGGGGGAAGCGGGGGAAGTAGTCGGAGATCTGCTTGATGGGTTTGATGGGGCCGGGGCAGACATCAATAGCCATGTGCTCCTGGATACTTATGGTCATTTTCTCTCCTTTTCGGAGTGTCATGCATGCGGCTGTCGGTGCCAAGCTCCCCCGGAGAAGCCCGGACCGTGTGCGAGGGAGCCGTGAAGTTTCTGCCGGGGAAAGCGAAGGCAGGCAAGGGGGAAGGCTCCGGCGGGCACCTTACGTGGTTCTCGCGCCCTGAGCCTCAGACGCCGCACGCATGCTGCTGCTGCCAGCTCCGGCTCTCGCACAGCCCCTGATCCTGCCAGCGCTGGCCGCGAATAAGTGAGCGAGACGGAGAGACGGATAAGAGGCAGGGGGTGGGCTCTCGGGTGATGTCACCAGCTAGCAACAAAGCGGTACCCAGCAGCGGAGGAATGAGGGCTGTGGCCAGCCCCGCTGCCCTGGTCGCATGGCCACCAGCGTGGGCAACCAGCCCCACGCCCCTTCCTCAGCAAAGCCTTGCCATCCTGGGGGCAGCAAAGCACAAGTTGGGTCGGAGCCCACCTCCCCACACCCATTCACACCATCTCCCTGCCAAAGCAGGGTCGGTGCCTGTCCGACCTCTCTGGAAGGGTGAAGGTCACCATGCAGGGTCAAGAGCCACTGTCCCATCCCAGAGCACTGTGAAGAGGGGAGCAGGGCTGTTCCAGCCCCTGGGGACTATGGCAGCCCCCGTGGCCTCCTGGCTCGCTGCAGGGCTGTGCCTGGAGATGCTCTGCTGCATACTGAGCAGGGGCGTGGGTGGCACGCTGCCCACTCCCGGCTCCAGCCGCACCACCGCTCGCAGGGGCAGGGGCAGCCCAGATTTGGTGCCCTTCTGCCATAGCTGGCCCCAGTCCACAGCATTGCCCCCTTCAGAGCTCAGCACCAGGCAGGCTGGGCTGGGCAAGCTGCCCACAGCCTCTGGGGCTGTGAACACACCAGGGACTGAAGCAACACATGGCACTCACTCGCAGCCCAGGAAGCACAGCCTCTCCCAGGCAGTCTGTGGCTGTCGGCATAGAGTGATGCAGCAGGTAAAGCATCGTGGAGGAGCGAGCGATGGCTGGGCCAGGGCCCACAGCCAGTGTGGCCATGCTCAGCACTCCTCTGGCCACCTTTCCAGGCAGGGATGGGGTCCTGCCACCAGCTGGGAAGGGGACAGTGCCTGCCACAGGCTTGCTGGTAAATGCTGAGCTGCGGTTTGCTCAGGGAGTTGGTCTCAAACTGGTGTTTTTACCCAATCTCCTTCCTGCGCCCAAATCAATAAATCCGTGGTTCCACAAGCCACTGCAAGTGAACTTTTGAGCGAGGAGTGCCAGAAGAGAAATGCTGTGAGAATGTGGTGCAAAATGCTGCACAGAAACTCATTGTGCCCAGGAAAACGTGTCTGAAATACTTTGCAAGGGCAACTCGCCCAGCGCAGACTTTCTGCTGGTGGATCTGGCGTGAAGCTGGGACACGCTGCGTGCGCTGGTCACCCACCATGTCAAGCTGATCGCAGCCAGTACCTCCAGGTAACCTGACAACACACAGATCCCGCATCAATGCACGAGAACTGCAGTCTCCTGCAGGTTGTCATGCAGATGTCTACTAGAAATAAAGCTCAGTTCTTTGGAGGATTTTCCCCAAAACCCAGCAAAATGACACCCAACCTTTTTTACTATTGAAAAATTCAATTTTTAATTCAGATTTGGGTAAATGTTAATGGACTTCCCTGACTCATAACACTGACACTAGGCAAACTACCCTAATTTACCTCTTGCTGGGAAGCAAACGTTTCTCTCCTGAAGCATCCAAACTTGTCATAGTGCTGTACCTAGACATGATGCACACAGATGCTCTAATGACCTGGAGAACAGGAGACTGCTCAGCTGCCCCTTCCTCCCTCTGCTGTATTTTCGCTTCAAGGCAGCTCCCACTTATCGCACAGAGGTGATCTGAGCTGCTCTGCCTGGACACAAACTGCTCTCCTGCAGCAACGTCCAACAGCGGATCCAGCCCGAGACATTGAACCCTCTTCCCATATCCAAGGACTCCCAGCACATTAATTCAGATGGAAATGCCAACTGCTTTGCATTCATGTGGTCGAGGCTGAAAGCCTCCTGGGTGGCAAGATGATGGGTGGGAATGTCAGGTGAGGCACCAAGAGCTGCCTCCAGGTTTGGAGCAGCCTGGATGTGCTCATCCACACAGGCTCCATCTTTGGGCGCAGCATCCAGGATGCAGTGTGGACTCAGACAAAATGATGCAAAAACTGGGCCTGATGCCCAGAAAATAGCAGCAAATCCCTCTAAGAAAGGGCAAATAAATAAATAAATAAAATTAAGTTATGTATGAGAGCCTAATGTCATTATTGCCATTACAAAAGCATTGTGATTTCAAATGTTTTCTCAAAGAGCACAAGACCAAAATAGAAAAGGATTGTTTTACACGTCAGAAAATCAAGGCTCTGGGATTAAGGTGAGCCCCTGAGCTCTGCCTCCTCCCACGCTGTGCAGTATCCCGAAAGCTGCCCCACACCACTCACAGCCCATGGCCAGGATCAAGGTCCAGCAGCACTGGTGAGAGATGCTCAGCTCATCCAGGGATGCAGAAAGCAACACAAGGGGGAGGGCGCACGTGGGGACCAGATTCAGGGAAAAGCAAAGACAGAGCTGAAGCAGGCAAACCTCCTTGCTGTCAGGATAAGACTGGCCTCCAAGGGAGACCCTGTCCCCAGACCTCATAGACCGAAAGAAACAAGACTTGGTGCTAATAGCCCAGATGGGACTTTCTAGTCCCTGACCGATCTCAAGCCTACTGAAAGCAGCTGGAGGCTTTCCTTAGCTTTTAATGAGTCCCAAAGCAGCTTGGTTTTGATAAACCACAGTTTCCTACCTCCTCACATTGCCTGAATGTTTCCTCTTGGCCCTATCGTAACACAGGCTGCAATGCTTAGGTTGCACAGCCCAATATTTACTGAGTGTTCCCCAAATGTGGCTGGGGCCAGCTGCACAACCAGGCACCCAGCAGTGGCGTACGTGACGCACGGCAACACGGAAGGTAGAAGGGACAAAAATAGAGTTGGGCTGGGAGACAAAAGCAGGGCTTGGAGATACAAAGCCAGTTTCCAGGTAAAGCTTTTAATTCCCACCGTCTGTCTAATGCCCTGGAATGTGACTTGATTTGATCCCTCACTCTGCCAGGGTGATTCAGAGCTACTGCAGTGCCCACGCCTTCATTTTCCTGAAAGGGGGAATGCTGGCTTCCTCCCCAGCCTGGCAAAAAGGGGAAATAGATAGTTTAAACATTGGGTAGCTGCTTTCGGCAGCAGGATTGACAGCTCTGCCCGGCAGGGAGCAGAGCCACTCTGCAGGGGATACCCCATCTCTGGAGGAAGGGAGGACATCCTTTAGAGAAGGTGAAGGTGGCCACCACAGAGACAACATCGAAGCAGGAAGGGGACGATGGAGAAGAGCACATCGCCCCTGTCAACAGCCGTGTTTCCTCTCCGGAGGCGTGCAAGCCGTGACAACACCCTGAGCTCAGCACACACAACACTGCACTTCAGCTGCTTGTTCTGAGATGCAAAAGAGTGGTTCAGCTGCTCACATCAGATGAGGGCACGGGCTGGTGTGCCAAAAACACCCCACAAAGAGAGCTGGGATGTGGGATGTCAGCGCCATCACTCCAACTCCAGCCCAGGCTCAGAAAAGCATCCTGTCCTGTGACAGCTGACTTTAAATGTCCATAAGCAGAGACTTAAGCACATCCCAAACAAAGCCTGTGCACTAACTCACCCGTGCCCTGAGCAGGGCCATGCAGCAGCCCAGCTTCCTTACGTGACCAGGGAGCTGTCCTGCGAGTGCCACACGAACGGGAGGACAGAAGGAGCATTCCTACAGCAAACAGAACAGCAGCACACAGATTAAACACACATCTGAAAATACAGGCTGTCCTCAGGACACACTTCAAACTCGAAGCATCAAATTCTGCTGTCAGTTACTCCTGGTTTAAAATCTACAAGAATGAGGGCTGATTCCAGTTTAATCAATTCTTTTCCAGATGAAAAGTACAGCAGCAGGACTGCACATCCCCAGCCCTTACCAGAGATTCAATGGCTCTTTATTTAATACTTTTACAGCTCAGACCCAAAGGACCTCACAGAAACCCCCTGCTCTGCTGGTGCTGCTGGAGAAGAGCCTGAAGAGTGCACAGAGATGATGCCAAAGTAAAGCCTCCGTGTGGAGGCACTACCTCTGGATCTCACTTACCCTTGAGCCTAGGGGGACCCACTGCAGGTTGGGAGCAGGGAGGTTTGACAGTCACCCATGGAGGTGACACAAGGCAGCATCAGCAGCAGTCTGCACAGTCCTAGTTTGCTTTTTCCCATTTTTAAGCCTGCGTTAAGCCACAGCAAGTACCCACAGCCTTAGGCATGAGAGGATGCCAGCAGATAATGCCAGCTCAATCTGGCTGCAGGGGCAGGAACAGGGGATATCCACGCTGCCAGCCCCGCTTTGCCAACGCTGCTGGAAGAGACCCCTCCATCCCTTTGGGGTGACTCGGGACCTACATTGTCTTCAATCCACCCCACTGCTAGGTATGAAACATATTTCTTTCTTCTTCCAATAAGCTTAGCTCCAGCATGGCTGTGCGCATGGGAAGGGGGTTAATTGAAAAGCAACACGTGCCTTGCTCCTTGGCTCACGCAAGGCGCTGTCTTCTGGCTGATGCACAGCTACCAGCAAGGAGGCTGCCTCTCCTGCAAGATCTCTGCTCTCAATTGCTGGGGAGGCTTGGCCGAGCCCATTGAGTGTGCTGCAGACCCTACCTGGTTAAACACCCTTTGCATTTGCTAAATAAAGCAATAATAATAATGATAACTAGGAAACTTGGCTAAATAATCCTAAGAGGCTTACTTCCAGGCTGTGCCGATTAAGGCTCCCCAGCAGTGCCACTGTCCCAGTGCACCCTGGTGCCCACCACTCCTCTGCACAAATAATATCTGAGGTTATCTGTGCCCAAACAGGCCCTGCTAACAACCATCATTTGACCAGATTTAACCAGCAATTACTAGCAGCGAACAAAATCACTGT